CGGGCTTTTTTCGTGTGAATAGACCGTTTGCAGCTGGCCTAAAAACACTTTGCATAACAGTGTCTGGAAGGCAAGAAAAATGCTGTGTTTTGTTTCAACTTTGTTTACAAATCCCGCAGCTCTCCGGTCACTTATTGTTCTCAACTATTTTTAGCGGTTAATTTAATTGCAAAGAACCTTTCAGAGCAAAAGTGAAAAGATTGTTGTAAATTTTCTACAAAGTCAAACTTTGGTTTTGCAGACGGGTGAGTTGAACATATTGTTTAAAGCACAAAAGTGTTATTTTATGTTCGGTGTTAGTCGTTCTCAAGTGATCTGTTTGACCCGTAATATGATGTAAATTTTGCCTACATCATGTTATTGTTGTAGCATTTATTAATCAAGGAACTAGTACTGTACAAAAGTCGATAATATTGCCTCGTCAGTTCTTCGACTTTGAAGCCTGAAATGGTCTTTGGTATCTGACCCGTAATATAGGTTCTGACCCGTAATATTAATAAGAATGCTGTATGTTTTACCAACAGTAATCAGTATGTATGAGAACTAATCGATATGTTATCAACGTACAGCATGCTGTATAATTAATCCACATACGGAACTAGTGTGTTAAAAAAAGTTAGTATACGAGTTGCTTTACGGTTTAAAATAAAGCTTTTTTTTCTTACCAGTTCGTGGCAGAAAAGCGTTGTTTTAAACTTCTGAACGGTGATCTGTTATATCTGACTCGTAATATTATATATTATAAGCATGTATGCTGAATGTTTTGCTAACAAGTTGTTGTAGAAATCGTCCATACCAGCGTAAGTAACTAGTACTGTGCTAATTAAGTTCGTATATGTGAGTTGCCTTACGGTTTTAAATCAAAGTTTTGTGTGTCTAAATACTAACAACGTGTAATTTTAAACGTCTGAAATGCGGACCTAATAACGAAGCACCGTCTACTGTCAAGGAAGCCTGCATAGCAGGAGTTTATGGTTGCTGGCGGCGGCGAGAAATACTATCAAGGCGGGCTTTTTTCGTGTGAATAGACCGTTTGCAGCTGGCCTAAAAACACTTTGCATAACAGTGTCTGGAAGGCAAGAAAAATGCTGTGTTTTGTTTCAACTTTGTTTACAAATCCCGCAGCTCTCCGGTCACTTATTGTTCTCAACTATTTTTAGCGGTTAATTTAATTGCAAAGAACCTTTCAGAGCAAAAGTGAAAAGCAGTTGATGCAATACAAGTCGACGAATCTTCCCTTTTCACATTTCAACTTAGGAGTTAGGGACATATATGCTCAACTACTTTTATAATGTCCATTAAGATATAAGCCACTGAAATAGGGAACTGAAACAAGTGAGAAACAGATCCATTGAAAACTCTAAATTTGCCAATGACAACACAACGTCAATTAAGGTCGGCATGGCTATTAATTCGAGTCCGGAGAACCCAGCTTACGTCTTATACGAGTCGGTGCAGAGCCATCGTTCGATGTAATACTACATGTATGTACTCACTCACTTTCTTGTTTGACTCGTATTTTGGATTTCAAGATGCTAAGCTTCGGATTATGTTTTGTACTATTTTTTTTAAATTGTCGGCTGGTATTGGGTGTTTTTTATGTAAGCAATACTTGATGTGATTTTTATGTAAGCAATACTTGATGACTATTGTCCCCAACATTAGATTGAGTATAAGTCTTGAGATAACCATTCATAATGATAGTTTAGTAAAATTACGATCTACAGTCCATGCATGTTCATCGACATGTGTTTTGCAAGTCCAGCTTAACCAAAATATGCAACCTTCTAGAAATGGTTTTACAAAGTATAATGAGTATAGTGACTAATGTGTTAGCTGCATGGAATGAAGTTACCAATTTTACGTGATACAATACAACTGAAACAAATTCCGAAAATTGATACCTTGACTTGTAGGCTCAATGAAAATACCGGATGTCCATACAAAGTTTACATCTGTCGATCTGACTTGTATTTTCAATTGAAAATTGAGATCTTGTATTCTCTTGCATTTTGATTTTTGACATAATAAAATTAAATGGCAAATTAGTTTTTTGTTTACGTACAGATATAAAGGCATATGTATAGTATGGGAGGAATATATCAGTTGCAACCCTTTTCAGTTAACGTCATTAAATACAGATCTCCAACAAATGCGTGCTTTACCTTCGTTTCTACGGAGGGATATGAAATCATTTCCTAAAAAATTGAGAGGTACTATCAAATGAAATTTTCAATGCACATTGAAATTGTCAGCACTTTTCCAAATTTTAAACATCTATATATAACCACCCATGTAACACATATTATGACCATGTAGTATGTATATAAGTAGTATGACTTTTTTCTAAAATACTAAATACCGGAATGCTGTTTGTTGTTTCAAAGCTAAAGATTGTGTTTCGTACTATTTAAAGCACGCCTAGGAGGGTTTTATCACATATAAAACACGACGCGTAGCGGAGTGTTTTATATGTGATAAAACACGACTACAAGTGCTTTAAATGGCTTAAAAAACGACTCATCTTATACGAGTTCATTGGCGAAGTAATTTTTAAAATAAACTTTGTCTAAACCGAGAAAATCAAAGCTAAAGTTTATGTAAATTAACATGATTTTTTATCACATATAAAACCACGACACGCTTATGATTTTTCTTTGTGATTTTTCTTTCAGGAGAATTATTAATGAGTTTTTTAATTAATGTTATTTAACAGGAAAATAACATAAATATCACTATTTTGCACGAACGGTATTTGCAGGGCTCTAATTTCAAATATTGGCTTCAGTAACGTCTTTATGGGATAACCAAACTGAAGGAGAAAGTATTAAACGATGTTTTATATATCTTTGTATTTCAGAAAACCACTGGTTTACATTGAGAAAGAAAGTTCGATTAAATCAGAATGAGATTTGTTCGAGACTTTGAAGAACTTCGTAGTATCTCCTCCCCTACCACCGATGCCCTATCCTTTAGTTCACAGGACTTTCGTGTGATCCGCTTTTTTCTGCGCCTGCTGTCAGTATGGCGACCGCAGTCAGCGGGCTTCTTGGAAACCTACATCTATCCTGTTACTGTTAACCTCCTACTATTGACTCTTGGAATTATACGCAATTCAATACAAGCCACGCATAAACCTACGTTGCTAAGTCTCCAAATGTTATATCTCGTCCATGAAGTAGTTGTATGGTTAGGTCATATTCTTGCCAACCGTTATTTCGCCTCAAGAGACCTGGAAATGAATGTCCTCAAGCCCATAAAACCGCTGACTAGAATTACGAAACCTTTGAATCGCAAACTTAAGGTCCTAAATGCTACCATGGTTATATCGATGGCGTTTTTCTCCATAATGCTTTGCGTGCTGTTTATAGTGACGGAGTTGTCATGGAACAATGGTGCTGAACGATTTTCAGCCAACTTGCCATACGTTCATGGTCCAGTGGATCATATTTTGTACGGTTTCGTATTAATCACGATAGTCTATGACCTCGGTATAGGTCTGGCCCTGTTCTGGACTTTAGCACTTCTTTATAGCTGTTACACTGCTCGATTGAAAATCTTAGAAAATATTTTTCTTAAGTGGAAGCATTCTTCAGTTGATGCCGTCTCGTTTTTCATGCAGTTGTACGCTCGGCCAGTAAAAAATTCCTGGAAACGAATCTCGTGGTGGTTCCTCGCGCATAATATTGTGGCACTCGCAATACCACTGTATGGCTACGAGTTGGCGCAAGCTGTTTCCGGTCGCGAATACCACTCGAAACATGTTCCTCAGTTTATTTGTTACTTGATTTTTATAGTGACAATATGGCTTGCGCCTATTGTCGTTGGCGAACTAATAAAGCGACGAGAGAGAAAATTTGTGGAGAGAATTAACGATATTTCCCCCTGGTTACTGGAAGTTGAGAAACACGCCCATGAAGTACACTCCCTTGGCGATAGTGGGATGTGTTCCTTTGAGGAATGCGGAGTGCATCCTACCGTGAATACCGTTAGTGACCCACCCCACCACCCACGTCAAACGGCATCCCTAGATGGCTCTACGGAATCCTCTGACAGTACTCCGACGTTTGCTGAGTATACGTTTGCGTGTCGAGGAAAGGAATTGAGAAATTTCTTGAGGTTTTTAAAACGAAGGACACCTGGATTGGTTTCACGAGGCTATTCTTTGCAACTAAATATTTCGTTTATTTCACTTATTGGTGGAGCTATATCGTTCCTTACTGAACTGCACATGAATTCTGAAGACGTTTATAGAAATTGTAACTGTACAATGTAGCCACTGATGTGATAGCTACACATGTCATCTTACATCTTGTCAAGACCGATGTGGTCGCAACAGGCTTGTAGCAAGCTTGTGGACAAGTTGTTGTTGAAATGCCTTATTACTTCTCCCTAAAGGTGCAGTGAGGCCTAGAATAAGGCCATGAAGTTTGCGCAGTCTATAGGAGAAACCGAAGTATACGGAGGATACCTAGTGTTTCGTAGAGTCGAAGTGGGAGCACGACTTTTGCATTGGTATTTTGTATCACTTTCAATATATACCGTTGTTGTTTTGTAACATTGTTTTGTAGTGGACGTAAATAAACGGGTAAAAAGCTTATATATGACCATAAATGACTGTCTGTCTTGCTTAATATACGTATAGTACCCCATAACATCGGTGATAACTTTTTTATGAACTGAAATATATTGGTATTTAGTACTGCATATTACAAGTCTTACAAGTAAAAATTTGCTTGGTTGCTTTAATAAACCTGGCTAGATATCAAATACTGGGAATAATAATGGTATAAGTGTTCAAAGAGTGGTCAGTTGACAGTATACGACCAAATATGCTGTCAAATTCCTTTATAAATTTTCATTTATAGAGCTAAACATTGGCCGGGCTTGTACACTAATAATACGTGCCTGGCCAAATTTACGAAAATGTATCCTGAGTTCTCGCTGTTGTATACTCAAAGAGAATAATATATCTTCAAAATCTTGTACCGTTACTTCACCTAATCGTCCCAAGCTTCTTTATACCAATCTTCATGAGTTCCGGGAATCCGTGGATCCGTGGTTTGATTAGCGTGGAAAGGCAGCATTTCAGTTCCGAGAAATTTTATGAATACTCTGCCGTGTTTCTTGTGTATACCTGGTGTGATTGTAGGATACAGAGCACGATTGTATGATGTTCCTCCATCCGCCACCTTGTAGGTGTTGTCATATAAATATGCACCCCGCACACTGCCCCCGATGTATCCTCCACCACCTCCCGGCAAGAGACCGGATGCTCCCCCTCCTCCAAATCCACCATCAGCTCCTCCTTTGTCATACCCGCCGTCACTAGTACCTGTCATCACATTAAACTTGCGTCGTTTTATTGATCCACCATTTCCGCCATGTTCAAATGCCTTGCCTCCCCACTTGGCACGATATCCAGCGCCGTCTTTATGAAAACCTCCTCCGGCACCGGCCATACAGGCGTGATCATGACGTACATGAGTGACAGTGATGTTTCTCTGGGGATCAAACAGGTGTCCACCTTCGCCTATTTTGCTGATGTATTCTTTCCTCCCGTGACCGCCGACCGAGTACATACCTAGGAAAGTATATATTGTACAAACGATGCATGGAAATCAAAATTCATATGGAGATCGCTAGGGCCTATCAGAGAAATTCGGGGGCCCGGGCCCTATTGTTTCCCCCAAAATGCCCTATTTTTTCCCAAAAAATGTTGGGGGGGGAAGGGTAAATTTTTTTCCGGACATTTAAAAAAAGGTCCAAAAAATTTTTACCGACTAACATCAGTTAAGCCAAGGTTCCAAAAAATTTTTTCCATTATTTTTCCAAAATTTTTGAACCAATATTTGCAAAATTTAGGTTTAGAAAATTTTTTCTCAACCCATTATTTATATCAAGAAACGTTCCAAATTACTTTTTTATTTTCCAAATTTTGGGGGGGGGGGGCTTACACTGGTGGCCCGAGGCAAATTGCCCCCTCTGATAGGCCCTGGAGATCGCTCTTTTTTGCTGCGATAGGAGAGAGCAGCGCCTTAAACTTTTCGTTGGTATGTGGAACGATCAATTATTTGTGACGTCATGGAATAACTTGAATGTGCATGAATGCACGTCAATGTGCGTCAAATATAAGTACTTAGTTTTAATACTGCTTATCAAATCCGCGCACGCTGACATGGTATCTAGTGCTAATTGTAGGGCACCGGTTATAAGTTAACTGTTTGTCAACCTGCAATTAAAGCGCCCGTATATAAACATCAAAAACTCGTGTACATTTCTCAGTACTTGACTTTTCATTAGAAATTTCAACGTTATGTGCCATGCGCCTTTCGCTAAATTATAGAGTCCAACTACCAAGATCATCAGCAGAACCACCTTAAGAGGCAGTCCGTGTAAAAACCGACCACTCGAATTTCTTAAGATTACAGATTTCCTTCAAACTTTCTGTGTGGAAGAAGTCATTCATAAAATGAACAAAAAACATTGACTTGGAAATTGTAGTCAGTTTTAAAAATTTTCTCCACTTACCAAGCTTGGGAACACCACCTCCACCGCCGCCACCAGCAACCATGATTGGTTTATCATCACGTGACACAACAAAAGTGGCACCACCACCAGAGCCAGCACGGAAGTGTGTTAAATGATCTCTTTCACCTTGTTGACCAACCAAAATCTTGAACACTGTTCCCTTGTCAAGCTTCAACTTTCCAGTCAGCTTTGCTCCTAGTCCACCTTCCAGACGACCGTTGTGACCTGAATACAAGCCGTCCCCGCCAGACGCGCCGTAGACCTCTAGGTACCATACACCGGAAAATGGTACGTTCCAGAGTTGAATACCGTCTACAACTTCAACTTCTTTTTCCAGCACAGTCCCGCGATATTCATCTGTGTCTGTAGGCCCTTTATGTCCTACTCTACCAAGGTTTGTAAACACGCGAACTAAAACAATACAAATGTACGTGTAAAAATCTCACATATTGTTTTATACAACCAGGCATACAATAGCCTGCGAACAGGCTCTCAAGCTGAATTGAGAGCCTGCATCGATTACTAATGAATTTGAATATCTGCCCCGTAACGTTCGTTTTTCCAAATATGGAATGTCTATCCTTATATCACGGGCAATAGGACAGGTGTAGTGTTGTTAAATAAAAAGTTAGAAATGGTATTGTACTTACCCATGTATTATAATTATGTTTAGAAGATCAGAATATTCATAACTTCTTATTTTGTTTCATAAATAGTTCTTTAATATTCGAAACAAATTCCATATCTGCTTCGTCTGCCATCGCCATGTTTACTCGTCCCAATCTACATGCTGCACGGCATTGCCGCCCCTCCTGGCAAAATAATAAGCAAGTGAGAAAACTTAAGGAGAAATAAGAGGGTAGGAACATCGTTGTCATAAGCTGGATGCAGTGACACTTCCATATATGGCACAAACGTATCCATAACTTCCATATATGGCATAAACGTATCCTCGACGCGTTTTATAACGTTTTATTTGACGTAGGGATGACGTGTAATGCTGCTTCCCGCCTATGACGATTTGAATTAGTCATGTGATACAAGATTGTGAAAGCTGATTCGCCCAGAGCGATGAAACGCCCACGAAACGCCCACATTGTTCCTACCCTCTTATTTTCTCCTTAATTTTTCTCGCTTGCTTATTATCTTGCCAGGAGGGGCGGCAATGCCGTGTAGTATGTAGATTGGGGCGAGTAAACATGGCGGCGGCAGACAAAGTAGATGTGGGATTTGTTTCGAATATTAAAGAACTATTTATGAAACAAAATAAGAAGTTATGAATATTCTGATCTTCTAAACATAATTATAATACATGGGTAAGTACAATACCATTTCTAACTTTTTATTTAACAACACTACACCTGTCCTATTGCCCGTGCTGGTACACATCTAGACATGCGATGACCTTCGTATTGATATACATGACACTTGCTCTCCCAAGCGCATGTGGTACAACACGGGCCATCGACGCATCCAGACATGCGCAGAGTGACATGGGGCCAGAGTGCTCAAACAACCACGAGGGAAGTGAGCTTTGCATTATTGCTAATGGACACCCAATTAACTCCACAGAATGCTCTACAACACCAAAGTGAAGGAGCGTAATAGTACAATCTGTATATATGTATATATATATATATATATATATATATATATATATATATATATATATATATATATATATATATATATATATATATATATATATATATATATTGTTCACTATTACTTATCCCTGCTCACCACTACTCCCAACGCAACGCGTATATTTACCATTCCGGCAGAACTTTTGATAAAATTATTGCTTTACTCTTGTATAGACGCATAACTACACAAAATACTCTTTGCAAATACCCATGGCCAGAAATCACGGACATTTTCATTTCTCAGGTTTCACGTTACCACGAGCACCCACGCAACAATGGCTGCGCAATGCCCTATGTTTATTATCAGGCGAGCAGAGTATTTTCAGTATAGCATGCTGTATATAAATCTTTGAATATTTGTTGAAATTGATTCCAGAAGTAGCGGTCGTATAGTAACACATTAAGAAAAAATGTTTTCATTTTTTTGCATACTCGCTCTGCTTTTTGCGATTGAATATTACAACATTTTACCTCACTTTACATAGGAATCTATAAAGTTTCTCGCTCAAAAGGCTATATCTCGTAATATATTCAATTATCGAAATTTGTTGAAATCATTTTATTTTGACGAATAGTATAGCCTTGCCTTCCACCGTTTATTATTTTGTTACACCCGATAAAAGCTCTGCTTTTTTGTTTTGAAATTCGCAAGCCGGTGCGTTAATATGCATATTATAATATTACATCGCGGTCGAAAAGTGATATTCCATTCGCTTACCAAACTCGAAATATTGATTGCCTTGCTACGTACATGTTTGGTACCAAAATACTCGTCGAAAGCTTCTCTTTTTGTTCCCGTAGTCATTGCTTAGCTACATCCTGAGCCTGGTAAACTAAATGCCACAACTTGAGTGCATACTTCATGCTTTGCTTTATAAACAACACCCACGCGAATATTTGAAATTCCGGATGCTTTGATAGGTCGTAAAAGGATAATTAGGAATTCTTGTGGATAAATGGAAAAGCCGCTGGCCGACTGGTACGCTTGCA